ATTGAATGAATCTATATGATACTCATGAAAAAGTTATTATGGTGAATATATAGAATACGCGTTGTACTCTTTTTCCCTTGGCTAAGGTTTTGTCCCATTGGGTTTTCCTAGCAAGGTTTTTAATGAGGCAACATGGATGGCGTATTCACATGAATAGTGTACTCTTTTTCCTTCATTAGGATTTTGTCCCACTGGGTTTTTCCTAATAAGGTTTTAACGAGGCACATTCATGATATAATGAGGACTACTGGATAATTGATATGATTCCTCATTATGATGAGAAAACACTGGAGTAGTTGTACTCTTTTTCCTTCGATCAAGTTTTTTCCCATTGGGTTTTCTTGACAAGGTTTTAACGAGGCAACACGTGAATACTCCATTAAAGATGATCTATTTGAGGGGGAGCAATGTTGTGCTTCCACAATGCTCAGGTTTTGTCCCACCGGGTTTTCCTGAGGATAGATGTTGTGATTCCATAATGATCAGGTTTTGTCCCACTGGGTTTTCCTGAGGAAGTAATGTTATAATTTCAAGATGATCAGGTTTTGTCCCACCGGGTTTTCCTGATATACTGAAGCACCAGTACCGATGGCTACAAGATACACTTCAAGATATTCAGATTGGGCGTTATTCAAATCAGTTAAAATATGTTTAGAAATAGTCATTCAAGGGGGAGTGTTATGAATTATTTGTTATAAAATAATATATGTGAATGACTATTTTGCCCCCGATGTAATTGTATTATTACGGTTGTGCCATCAGAAGTTTCCTATAAATAGGAGCTTCAGTTATAATGAAAATTGTACCTAAGAGAAACATTTTCTCTATTCTCTCTTTTTTCCCTCTAGTTTTATAACATATATAAATGTTTATGTGGTCCATTTAATTATAGTTTTGGTCCATTTAATTACAGTTTAAAGTGTTTCTAATATGCATCATAAACTAGCTCAAAGTTTGTTCAGTAAATTTACAAGCAAGCCTTTTGTCTTTAAATAAACTTTGTTTGGTGGAATATTTTTTTTCCAAATAGTTCGAGCTTATTTCATACATTTGTTTGTATAGCTTTTCAAAAAAGTTTGTAAAAAATTTAATTTGAGTTGACGTGTAACTAATTTTACCAAATACTTTCATGATATATATCAACTAATTTTACACACTATAAAAAATTGTTATATTTCATCGAAAATCATATGGTAATATATTCCAATGAAAATTCCAACTGATATTCTAATAGTATAGCTCCGTTGTAATGGTTCCAACTTCCAATAGAAATTTCACCGAAAATATTCCATTGGCATGTGTTATTCATTAAAATTTTAGATGAAATTTGATGATTCCAGCGACTATATTTCCAACGGCTTTTTACTGTAGGAATTTCGTTGGAATATGCAATTTCCATTGAATTTTTTATTTTCACCCGCATTAGAAAATCTATTGTTGGAATCATCAAAAGCCAATAGAAATTCCAATGAAAAGCTCGTTCCAACGAAATATTTTCGTTGAAATCCATTGAAAAATTTCAACTAAAATAATACCATTGAAATATCCATTGAAATTGTCGTCGGAATTCGATTAGAGTGTATATTTCAGTTGAAATTTCATCATTTTCTTATAGTGTCAGCCATCAGTCATAAACTATATTAATTATCCCCTATAATTTAATTTTTCAGCCGAATTTACCAAACATATCCTTATTTTGTTAAAGGGAAATTATAATTTTTTTTTTAATAAGACAACTTATCAACTATAAGTTAGTTTTTCACCTCTATTTACCAAACATAACCTTATTTTGTTGTTAAAGGGCGCCTATTTTTTTTGTTTGTTAAGACGGGTAATAGGTACTTTGAAGTAATTGTTTTTATAAATATATGTAATTTATGAGAAATAATATATTTTATATACTACCTTCATCTACAATTACCCATCGTTTCGAAATTTAATATAGAAATTAACAATTCATTTCTTCATATTACACTCAGTTAAATTTATAGAATCTTAACCCAAGAGCGCTTGATGAGATGATTTGAGTCTCTTCCAGCTTAATCAGTGGTCTCGTGTTCGAGCCCTGGGAATGCAGCAGTGTTAAAAACTCTTGAGGGAGAGTTTTGCCGCCCTTGTGGTCCTACCCGGCTCGATTCCGGATTAGTCGGTTCCCTTGTGGATCCGGAAACCGGAAGGTCCTGTACAAAAAAAAAAAAAATTATAAAATCCTATGTTTAATCGTTTTTAAAATAATTATTATATTTCTTTGTTTAGTGTTTATTATTGGCTGATTATAAGAAAAATAAGTCACATAATCTGAATTTATGGATTTATATAGCAAGAGCAGACAATTGAGGGTGAGAAAAACCGGTATTAGCGGAATCGAACAATTCGGAACGGTTCGGTTTGCTTTTTGTAATGTAAAAAATTTCAATTCGATTGCGGTTTGGTTTTTTTCCTAGATTGCGGTGCGTTATATTTTTTCATAAGTTCGATTTTTGGTTTTTTTCTGTTCGGTGCAGTTTTGCACTGAACCATACTGAATAAAAATATAGAGAACTGAGATAAAACTGAAAACCTAGCCGCACCTTGCATTTCAGTGAGGTTTGATTAAGTTATTTTGGTGTTAAAAAAATCGATTTGGTTTCGGTTTGATTTTTTACTTTTTTTTTTTAAGTTGCGTTGCGATTTGGTTATTATTATTATTTTTCTTGCTAGATTTGGTTTTCGGTTTTTTACTGTATCGGTGTAGTTTTTCACCAAATCGCACCATTGCTCAGACAACCGATATAGTACGCCAAAGTCCATGTTAATCAGGCTATTGTTCCCTTAATGGGCCTAAACCAGCATCTTTCTCAAATACATGATTGTTTATTAAGCCCATTACATAATGTCTATTAACGGTTCGTGCACTTATTATGAGATTGCGTCCTCTTGAGAAGATTATGTTATCTTAATAAACTACTACAATAACCAAGAATTTATTAACCAAATCACTTGAAATGTCCAGAATGTGTGGAATATATCAAATTTGAGGGTACTGAAATTTCTCATAACTAAATTATGTGATGTTAAAGCACTTTATGTCTTTTTGTCGCCTTTGATAGCCTTTAACGAGGTAGAGGACTAGTGTTATAGACCTAAATTTGATGCCGGAACTTGGCACATTTTCTTAGTGTGCCAAGGGACTAGAGACGTGGTCACTTGTGTGCACGGCGTCGAATAAAGGAGGGATGTCGAATGCGTCCTTAGGCTAAATGTGAGATTCAGTCGAGCATTCTGGTGAGCAACGAACACTTGGGCAACTCTCTAACATTTCAATGTCCAGTAGCTTGATTCTAGAAATGGACCTTTTCTCCTTCTTATGGAAGGTAGTGTTCTCAAAAGGGTTGGAATCGAGGAATGTAAGAAACACGTGAGGGGGTCTTGGGCCTAGTGTGGGCCTGACCAACTTATCTATTCGGATTGAATATGAGTGAGTTGTTGACTAAAGTAAAAAAAGGGTACATATAATTTGAGGGCTTGGTTCGGTCGGACGAGGGCTTGTCGTGTGTTGTGCATGGCCTTGCGAACGCATGTGGACTTGACTCGGAGAATGCTGTGGTGCGTGTGATGTGATGAATACATTTGTGGGATCAGTTGAAGGCCAAGACGTAAGCCAAGCGATGTCTTGCATACTCTTGAGCTCAAGGGTCGGACACAGGTGTACTAGTCGGTTACTAAGTCTCATGTGGCCTAAGCAATCATATCCCTTCGGCGAAAGGTCTTAACCTAAAGTTTAGCCCCGTGACAATTAGAGCGGTTAAAAAAACGAAGCACCCGTAAGCTCGAATCGACTTGTTGAGACTCAAGTTAAAACTCATCTACTGATCGAACAAGACAAAACTCGTTAAGGCTGAAAAACATAAACCTTTTTATAGTTTTCTACAATTCAACTTGTTAAGACTTGAGTTAAGTTTGTTAATACTAATAAACGAGCCAAACTCAAATTCATTTATCGACAACTAGACTTGACTCAATGAAGGCTACAACCGATGCTCGACTCAATGAATGCTACAACCGAGCTTAAGTAGGCGTTCGCTCATCTGATTTTACACTTACACCCCTTGTTAAATTGGACACATTTATTAGCCATCGTAAATGTTTTTATAGAAAACAACTGCTAAAATATTACTACTACAAAATTTTGACATATTTTTATATATCAAGAAATAGGGTTCTTTGGTAATCCTTGCTATGTTGCCAATTTATTTTATAAAAAAATATTTACCAATCTATTAATACTAAAATAAAATAAAATAAATCTCATAGTAACTGATAAAAACTTTAAATCCATGTCCTAATAATAACACACACCAGCTTATCAAATTTTAAATGTGAAGTCCAATTTATTTATCCCTCGTTTTTAGCGTGAGATTGCATTCTTTTCCCGATACATATAAGAAAGAAAATCTGACGTCTTAACTCATCTGATAAATGACTATTAACCTAACAAACCCCCAAACTAATCATTATTAATCAAAACACCACTGTCTATCAAACCAACGGTAAATTCCAATAGTACCCTTCATCACCTCTCTTGCCTACGCGACACGTGTACTCCGGTGACCGATATTGACCCTAGATTCGCTCCGTCCATGTCCGAAAGTTTCACTTATTTATTTTTCACCCCTTTAACTATTCGAATTTCGTGTCCGCACCCCCACCTTTTGTGGTTTTTTTCGATTCATTAATATTTGCAGAAGGACGGGAAAAAAAAAAGTGAAATAGATATGGAAGCTGACAACAGCTAACAATTGATTCGTGAACTCAAAGAAATCTTCTCAATTAAACGCGGCATTCTCCCACCCAACACTCATCACCCAACTCAAACCCTCCATTATTTCTTTGAAGCTACTGTTTCTCTCTCCAAGATTTGCAGATTTGGGTGCAAACAGTAGTTGCTGGGTTGTCGCCGGAGTTGTGTGTGTGAGTGTGTGTGTGAGAGAGAGAAGTTGGGGGAAAAAAGGGTCTGAAAAATGAAGCAGCTGACGGCGCTGCAGCAGCAAGGCCGCCGGAGCAACAGCTTCCGGAGCGCGTCGTCGCCTCTAGACGCCACCGTCGACGGTGCAATCAAATCTCCGGCGACGATCTTCTGGCTGGTCGTCCACGGTCTGTGCTGCCTGATTAGCTTGGTTCTCGGATTTCGATTCTCTCGGATCGTCTTCTTCCTCCTGTTCTCCACTTCTTCTTCCCCCTCCGCCAACACTAGCATATACTCCGCTTTCCAAACGACGGTGCATTCCTCCTCTACACCGGAGAGGAATTTCTCCGAAGTTAGCGGCGGTGGTGGCGGAGGGAGCAGGGTGGTTGTCGGGAGGCACGGGATACTGATCCGGCCGTGGCCGCATCCGGATCCGGCCGAGGTGATGAAGGCGCACCGAATAATCGAGCGGGTTCAGATGGAGCAGAAGTCTCAGTACGGGGTTAAGAATCCCAGAACTGTGATTGCTGTTACGCCGACTTACGTTCGAACTTTCCAGACTCTGCATCTCACGGGCGTGATGCATTCTTTGATGAATGTGCCCTATGATCTCATATGGATTGTGGTGGAAGCTGGCGGCCCCACCAATGAGACCGCCTCGCTTATCGCAAAGTCGGGATTGATGACTATCCACATCGGATTCGACGGGAAAATGCCTGTACTATGGGATGATCGGCATAAACTTGAATCAAGGATGAGGCTCCACGCTTTGAGGTATCTTTGCATTTGTAATTTCCCAACTATAATTGTAATAATTCGTTAGTTGTGCCTAATTCTCATGTTTTGATATGTTTTGGAACTTGCAGGGTAGTTAGAGATAAGAGATTAGACGGGATTGTGATGTTTGCCGATGACAGTAACATGCATCATCTTGAGTTGTTTGATGAGATTCAGAATGTGAAATGGGTGGGTGTGGTTTCGGTTGGAATTCTTGCGCAGGTGGGTAGTTCAGAAGAAGTAGAATTGCCCGTAGATCGAATAGATGAAAGTGGAAAAGATGAAAAGAAATCATCTTTACCAATTCAAGGCCCGGCTTGCAACTCTTCAAACCAATTGATCGGCTGGCACACTTTCGATACGCTGCCGTTTGTGGAGAGGAGGGCGAGGTATATTGGTGACAATGCAGTTGTGTTGCCGAGGAAGCTCGAGTGGGCTGGATTTGTATTTAACTCGAGGTTGGTGTGGGAGGATACAGAGGAAAGGCCAGTTTGGGTTAAGGATTGGGAAGAGGTTGTTAGGGATGGCGAGGATTTGGAAAGCCCGTTATCTGTGTTAAAGGATACTTCAGTGGTGGAACCTCTTGGCAGCTGTGGCCGCAAAGTTATGCTATGGTGGTTGCGTGTGGAGGCAAGGGCAGATAGCAAATTCCCCCCAAGGTATGCATAATTTGAACTTTAGACCAGAATTGTAGGTATGAAATTCTACGATTTTCCATTTTTCTGTGGACTGTCAAAGCATTTTGGGATTGGCCAACGGTAGTTCTTTAGGTTTGCTGACATTGTTCCCTTCAGGGGGCTTTGGTGTGGGTACTGTTTTTTGTGTTGGCTAATTGCTTTTCTCGAAGATAACTTTCAAGTTTCAACATCTTTCTTAAGTGGATGAATTTCTGGCTGTTGGTCCTGAAATATAGGAACACGTCCATTCAATGCTGTTTAATGAATATAAGCAGATGCTTGGATATTGGAAATACACAAATTCTCAGTGGGAAACTTAATGTGTGTAATATGGTGTACTGTTACTTTTTTTTTTTTTTTTTTATCGTTAAAAAATTGGGTTATAGATCCACCGAGGTGGGTAGCCTTAACCGGATGTGTGTTAACAGGTAAAGCCCGAAGGCTGTTCCCGTCCCTGTCAGGGGAGATGCCAACCATCTCTCCTTTTTCTGAACACAAAAGGATGTGTGTTATCCGGATGTACTGTTACATTCGTTTAACATCTAAAAGACCTCACACTTGCCAACCATTTGAACATTTTCTATGAAACCCATAATGACTAGGACACAGGGTCAACTTTCAGCTTAATTGTAATTTGCAGATAGGGTGATAAAACTCCTTGTGCTATATATCATCAACTTATCCCTTCAGCAACAAGAAACCTTAGGTTTTGTTTGGTTCCTACCCTCAGTCCCTCACCCAAAATAACTCCCCTAAAAACATCAAACAATTACCAACCAAAAACACTGTCTCTATTCTTCTCAAAGCATTTGTCGTCCAATACACACATTTGACAGAACTTCCACTCTACTTCTCCTGAAAGTTTTCCCAATCACTAGTCAATTGAAGCCCCAAGTTATTGGATTCAGAGATGGGGTATGGGTGTCGATGAACGTCCAAGCAATGGATAGATTTTGTCGGAAGATGGCAGAATGAGATAAATCAGTTTCTTGATTTTGAGATGGATATGGGGATTATGTTTCGTAGAAAAATGCTACATGTACATAATAAATGTACATAAATGTACATAAAGATGAACATAACACTCACATGGAGTGGGGTCCACTTGATTTTTTAAATTTAGTGGGTCCCTCTCAATGTCAATGTTATGTACACCTCTATGTACAACATTATGTACCTATAGCATTACTCATGTTTCGTAACATATCTTAGTGGTAGAGTGGCTAACACAGCACATTCTAAGAAGGTGTATTAAATTGAAATTGCTATCCACGGTTATATCAGGTATGAAAGTGGTTTGTGCGTGTATTTCTATTAAACACATTATCATAGTAACATAGCTTGAAATTGGTTACTGGTCACACCTTTTAGGACCAAGCAGAGGTGGATAGGAATCACCTCTTCAATTTATATTTTGGAAATAGCCAATACTTTTGCAGCACAAATTCAGCGTAGCCAAAGCTATGCTTGTGTCCTCACATAGCATTGTTGATGCAGTATTGACGTAAGGGAGCCTTCATCCAGCCCAGACTCGAAAACCTCTTTTGAACTGTTTTGGTCAAAAGGTAATTTTACATGCAGTGAGGGAAGCTAATATCCTGTAGTTGGGATGTAATTAAAAACCAGTTGCACTTTTCAAATCTAGGAGTGCAACGGGGATGAGTTGGTTTAAACATAAATTAGTATTTGATTTCTTTTTTACTTCTGCTTAAAATTGGCCGTATGTAATGCTTTCACACTGTACACCACATGCCATGCTGTAGCTAGCTGATTCATTTGGATGATATTCGATCCCGAAGTGAACGAAAATATCTTAGGAAAGTGGGCCTTTATGATCCTATAAAAAATCAACCTTATAGTTCCTGTTCTTGCATATTTCTTGTGTCCCATTAGTTAATTTTTCTCGTTCTCAATGGAAAGAGTGTGAAAATGTAATCTTAACTACAGCTTTTCATGGTTAATCTGAAGTTAAGCATAGACCACTAATACATCCATTGGTATGTGGGTGTAGATCACCTCATGTAAATTAAGCTTCTTCCAAGTCGTCCTATGTATACATCTCTTATTCTATGAAACGAAATAATTTCTGGCCTTGATAACTGGCTGGCTATGCCTTACAGATTGTTTGAAGTTGAATCTAGAGATGCATGTATGATGTATCCCTTTTAAGTTGGGAATAAGAGCTATAAAAAGCTGATTACTTGCTTAATTTATTTTATTTTTCTCGAGAAACTAGCTTAACCAAATTGTCGAAGTCTTGTTGGGACAAACTAAAAATGGGGATAGATGCAGAAACAACCCCTGAGGTTGCAATAGTTAAAAGATAATAATTATCCGTTGAGGGTTCATTCTATTTTATTTGCTCAAGGGTTTACAATTTTCCTTCTCTCCCTCCGCTTTTTTTTTTTTTTATTAATTTTGTGTGTGTGTGTGTGTGTGTTTTTAAATTCCTTATCAAAAGAGTTGTTTTCAGCTTGGTACTGATTTAGGATGTGCTAATGGTGCCAAAATTATTCTTTTCATTTTTATGCGCATATCTTTATATGCTTACTCAGCTTCCTTGCTATCCCAAACAGATGGATAATCGACCCACCACTTGAAATAACTGTGCCGGCAAAACACACCCCATGGCCAGATACTCCACCCGAATTCCCATCCACCGTCGATAAAGTGGCTGTTATGCCTGAGGTTACTGAGAAACGCCCGGCAAAAAGTGGCTCGAGAAGAAAACGCAGCTCAAGAAGCAAAAAGAAGCACAGTTCAAAAGTGCTGGACGAGCATGTTACTGCTAGGCGTGTTGGGGATAATTAAAAGTTATTATTTTCACCTTTTTCATCAGGCGATAACCTGAAACTCTATACCACTATGTGAATTCTTGGTGTCGTACTGGGCAAAAGCCTTCCAATATTCGAAGCAAAGAGCCATGAAGTCAAAAGACCCCTGGGTTGATGCAGGGAAAAGGCTTGTGTTTACGCATACAATATAGCCAGTTGATACATACTTGAGATATCTGTTTTCCTTTTCGACGGATCTAATTCCTATCTTGTTAGCGTGAAGTAATTTTTGGGCTTAGTTCATTTTTTGTTTGGCGGTTTGGTAGAGTTTGTTAGGGCTCTTAATCGTTGCTACATTTTCTGCTCGGCGGAACCTCTGTATTTACTTTTCTTTCAGGTATTATAAAGTTGTTTTTCAGATGAGTTAATTTCCCCTTTCTGCTATCCACAATGCAAGCTTGATGCTTGTGTTCAAGGTAAGCATTTTCTGAGATTATTTGTCCAGTAGTCAGTAGAGTAATAATATTTGTACTTTTAATTTTCTCTTGTAATGCTGTAAACTAGAATTTTGTGTCGGGTTATGACACATCCTGCCTTATATATTAATGTGTTGAGTCTAGGTGGCACATTCTCACGCTTAGGATGCTGACATAACGAAAATTTATGCTTCGTGATGTTGTTTTTATATTATTTTTGCTCTGAAGTTAAGTTTGGTATTAGACATAAATAACTTTACACATATATTCATTAACTCACACCCATGTTGTACATGGGTATTAGTACTAGTGCAGGTTGAATACAAAGAGTGCTAATAAACAAAAAAAATATCATATCTATTTTGTTTTAAATTTCAAATAATTATTAAGAAATTACATTATTATTTATATTTCAGTCAGGTTGAATACAAAGAGTGGTAATAAAAAAAAAAAAATATCATATCTATTTTGTTTTAAGAGAGATATTTTTGTTTTAAATTTCAATAATTTTTAAGAAATTACATTATTATTTATATTTAAAATGATATTTTTCAGTCGCTTAAGTTGTATTATGTAATGAACTTGATTGATGAATATATTGAATTGATGAATATTTTTTATATTTTATAATTAATAATGATGGATTGTCTATTTTTTAATGATAAGGGTGGGCATATTTATTTATAAATGACGTAGATCTCAAATCGAAGAGATGATCATATATCAAAATTTGATAAACAAAATATTAAATTTATTACATTAACTTTTAAAATATAATTATAATTTAAGTTGGTAAAGTATTTAATAATTTTAGTAATCTTAATACACATGAATAGAACTGCTTATGGACATAAATGCATGTATATATGGGAAGAGAATTTTATTAATGTAAAATTGCTCTTGATTATTAGGTCTAGACAGATCGACATATGACAACTTATAATATTGATGTGCATTTTTATTTATAATGTACTAGTATAATACCCATGTACAACACATGTGTTAAGTTAAGAAATATCTGATAAAAGTTATTTATATTTAATACAAAATTTAACTACAGAGCAAAAATAATATAAAAACAACATAACAAAATATAAATTTTCGCCATATCAGCATCTGAAGCGTGAGAATCTGCTACTTAGACTCAACACATTTTAAATCAATATATAGGGAGGCATGATGGTTGGACGTGCCTAACTAGACTAACTTATCTTAAATTTGTGTTTCAAATTACCTTTTTACCAATGTACTAATGTACTTCACAAAGAAAATGCTACCTTATCTTAAAACTTGAACAAAAATTTGACATAAAATGATGAATGAATCTAGTAATTATTGGTGTTATTTTTTCTTTTTTTTATCAAATGATAATTATATTAAAACTCCGGTACACCCGAGATGTCTACTGACATCATTAGAACCAGAACAAAATCTGGATCTAGCTCTCCATTGGAATTACACAATCAACCAGAACACTCGAAACAATCGTACAACAAGAGCAAAAAAAAAAAAAAAAAGGTCAAGGAGCCTAACAAACCAAACACACCTAGACTTAAAAAAAAAATGAAGAAAAAACAAGAAAATACTACAATACATACATACACTAACAATAGAATACCACCTCCTCTGCATCTGACGGGCACACTACTACGACCATTTGAACCAGCAACCAAAACGATCCAACTCCACAACCAAGAAACTAAAATAGAGCAGCAAATCAGAGGCCCCAAAACCAAAAACTGTGAATTTACTCGAGCGCCTAGTCAGATTTGGCGAGGATACGAATTTAAGTTCAAATCTAAGCCCCTGCAACCTTCAGTCAGGAGAGAAACAAACGTCGAGGGAGCAAAAGCAACCAAGCAGCTGACAACGACTAAACGAGAGGATCTTCAACACCACCCCTTCAACTTCGGCACCCGACCATCGACCTCTGGGAGTGATATTTTACCTAACTCTGCCGATGTTGGAGCCAAAAGGGCCGGCCGAGAATCGCAGGCATCAAATGGGTGATAACTTCAACTCTTACGTTGGCAACTGCATGGACGGAGTGGCTGACCGAGAAGCGGCGACATCCCACCCCTCCTCCTCGCCCGCGACACAAGGCGCAACCCAGGCATGGCCTTACGACAAGGAAGAAGTGTGGCTCCAGCGGCGGTGCCAGCACCGCTTGGACAGAACAGCGGCTTGGAAAAGTAGGAAGGTGCAAACAATTTTATATCTGATTTTTCTTTTTTGGGAAGAGAGATGAGTGCAGGAGAGAGAAGTTTATTTATTTTTTTTTTCAACAATTTCGGATATGTCTATATTTATTGATTTAAGATTAAGGTGATGTATTACTTGTAAATAATGGGTGTTTAGTCAGATGGATGAAGCTAGCCTTGCTATATAGTTGGTACAGAAAGCCCCTCGACCAGCTTGGTTTTCGGCCTGATTGAGTTTCTCGCCGGTAGATCGTCCTTCAAGACCTGCAAAAACTCCACATTGGAGAGTTTTTCGGTGAAGAGCCTCTGATACTTAAGTTAGCACAATGAGAAAGACAGTGTGTTGTATGTAAGTATGTACAGAGTATATATCATGTAATGTTCTAGAGAGCACCCCACTCACTTTTATAAGGAGTGTTACATTGTTGCCCAAGATTGCCTGAGTGAGCTGCCAGGATGCACGAACAACCCGTTCATACTGCCCAATTATGTTAGGTCATGTGACTTTATCCACGTGTAGTCCTTATCCTGATAATCTTCCTTCTTATACATTAGTCTGCTTTATTAGATTTTCTAATCGTGAGACCAGCTCAAATCATGTTAAGGTAGAATGTCAGGTGCATCAAATCCATATGCCCTGCTCTTCTGGTCGAGTTTCCACCAGGTCATCCGAGGGCCGTAACTCGACATGTCGATCTCTTTAAACCTCCAACACCTTCTTCGACCTGGAAAGTCCTTGATTTGCTGATGTTCGACTTGCGTTCGACCTTCATGTGTTCATGCCCGACCATCCGGTCTGTCCGGCCTAGTCAGCCAATTAATTAGGTTTGCACTATCCAATGTGGTATCTCATCTCAATAATATATATTTGTTTGTGTTTTTTTTTTTTTAATATAGTCTACACGGTAACATGTCCACACACATTCAAATGTTCTTTTTATTCAATTGGATCAAATAGAATTGGTGTGACCCATCAAAGGCCCCATCGGTTCAAAACATGTCACGTTCATTATACCTAAACTCAGCCCACACCACCTAATTTGATAAATCTACAAGTTTAAGAGAGAATCAATGTGTTCTTAAGTTATTTTTCAATCCCAAGTGTTAATAATTAAAATCAAATCCATATTGACATGTTTTTGATCCTCAATATTGTTGGTCATTTTAAAACATACAAACATAAGTCCACTTGCCTTAAAAATGCATAAAACGTGTTGGATTTCTTCATCCATCACACAGCTCTGTCAGAGTTAGATCAGGTCAAGGCTCCACAACATGTTCTAATCATCATTCAACAACTAATCCAATTATCCAATCCAAGGCTCCCTTCTCTTTAAAATTATGCTAAAAAGTTGTTTTTCCTTTCCAAGTGTTCATCAGATCATAAAGAAGAAGCTTAAGAAGAAACAAAATGGTTGCAGTCTTCAACAAAGAGCTACTCAGCTGGTACCTCATCACCCTCAAGCTCAACCAAACAGTCGAAACCGGGCTTCAAAACCCGACAACCTCACGACCCATCGACTTACCAGACACAAACCACGCCAAGACCCAAGAAACCCGCTTCCCACTACCTCCAAACTCCCTCCAAATACCCATCACCGAAGACGAAACGGGCCCTCCCAAGCCCGAGGAACCCGATTGGGTGATCACCATCAAGGAAAAGCTCGTCCAGGCCCAGCAAGAGGACGCGGCCCGCACTTGGGCCAAGCTCTCCATCTACCGCATTCCTCAGTGCCTCCGGGAAGGTGACGACAACCGGGCCTACATCCCCCAGATCGTCTCCCTCGGGCCTTACCACCACGGAAAGAAACGACTACGCAACATGGACCGGCACAAGTGGCGGGCCCTACACCGCGTCCTCACCCGCACCAACCATCCCGTCGGGCTCTACTTCGACGCAGTCAGGGAGCTCGAGGAACGGGCCAGGGCCTGCTACGAGGGGTCCGTTCCCCTCGGCAGCAACGAGTTCGTCGAGATGATGGTCCTCTCCTCGATTCCACTTTTGTCCTCGAGCTCCTGCGCGGGGTGGCCTCGGGCTTCCCGAGCCTCGGCTACCCGAGGAACGACCCCATTTTCGCAATGCGGGCCACCATGCACTCCATCCAGCGGGACATGATCATGCTCGAAAACCAGATACCGCTCTTCGTGCTCGAAACCCTGTTCGGGCTCCAGTCGGGCCAGGAGGACCGGGCCGGAACGGTCACCAGGCTGGCGCTCCGGTTCTTCGACCCGCTGATGCCAACCGACGCCCCACTAGACGTGGCCAGGTGCCGGTTTCGGGCCCGGCCCGGCCCGGCCCGCCGGGCCACGGGCCTCAAACAGTCGAACCGCAACCGGCCCGCTAGGAACGAAGGGCCGGTTCGTAGAACCGGCCCGAACCGCCGGTTCACCGGCCCGGCGGTTCACGGGCCGGTACGGCCCTTAAAAAAAGCAAAAGAAATGACCCGGCCCGGCCCGGCCCGGCGGGACCAACAAAAAAAACCCGTGACCCTTAACCGGACCGGATTGGCCGCGGTCCGGTTCTCGAACCCGGCACTGTTCATGCCGGTACCGGTACCGGGCCGGGCCGGGCCGGTACCGGGTCACGGGTCGGGCCACGGGCCGGGCCGCCCGTGGCCATGTCTGCGCCCCACTGACGAGGAGCGACAGGAGCAGGATCGAGTCATCCGCCAGATTCGACCCACTGACCGAGCAGGGAGGGCTCCACTGCCTCGATGTGTTTCGGAGGAGCCTGTTGTCTATACAGGCCGGGCCGAAGCCCGCGCCTCGTGTATGGATCAAGCGGTGGTCTCACGCGAACCGGGTGGCGGACAGGAGAAGGCAGCAGCTCATACACTGCGTTAGTGAGCTGAAAGATGCCGGGATCAAGTTCAAGAAAAGGAAAACCGACAGATTCTGGGACATAAAGTTCGAAAATGGGGTTCTCAAAATCCCGCGTCTTTTGATACACGACGGGACTAAGTCACTGTTTCTGAATCTCATTGCCTTGGAGCAGTGCCACCTGGACTGCACGAATGACATCACGTCGTACGTGATATTCATGGACAACCTGATTGACTCCCCTGCTGATGTCAGCTACTTGCATTACTGTGGGATTATCGAGAACTGGTTGGGGAGTGATGCTGAGGTGGCCAACATTTTTAACCGGCTGTGTCAGGAGGTGGTTTTCGATATAAACGACAGCTCCCTCTCCAGGCTGTCTGAGCAGGTGAATCGGTACTATGAGCACAGGTGGAATGCTTGGAGAGCGAGCTTGAAGAACAAGTATTTTAATAATCCGTGGTCGATTATCTCGTTTTTGGCTGCGGTCGTTTTGCTGGCGTTGACACTGGCCCAAACGTTTTACGGCGTTCATGGTTTTTACAACCCTCATCAATGAGCATGAGAATCTTCTGAGAAGTTTGTTTTGTTTATACTACTTTTGTTCGGGGACGAGATTCTTGAGTTGCTGTGTTGTTCTTGTGGAGATGGAGATGCTTTGGTTTTGCACTTGCAACACTGTGTGGGTGATTCTTTCTTGTTGATTATTTTTCTCTGTTTTTTTTTTCCCTTTTCCCTGGATATTCTTATGGGAAAAGAACAGTCATATAGGAGTTGCAGTACTGTTGAACTTGAAGCGATTGTTTATAGATTTCATTGGAGTATATAATACATTTATTTGGAGCCAAAAGAGTGAATAAAGTATGTTATCTATTTTTTTTTTATTTTTATTTTTTTATATATGCCTGGAGCATATATTTTGAGCAGATCTCTTCCAGATTGTGTACATAGTTGCATCAACTTTATCATGACCCTGTTTGTAATGTTGGCAAACCAGATGTGATCCTTTGAAAACAGTTAAATTCAACATAAATCCCTTCACAATAGCAAAAACCTGAACTTGAGTTAACGACGACAAAGATCGATCAAAATTATCCGTTTTTGAAATCGAAAATCTTATAAATCCATTTGGTTAGAAAAAGAGCCAGCACGCAGCCTGTATAGAAATCGCTGTTCACTCGTAAAACTGATGATACACTGGCCAGTAGTACAAGTTCTTCCTCCACTATAAAGGATATTCTAACACGTCAAACAAGAAGCAAGTCCAACCTATGGCCATCAAAAAGATCGGATACAGAAAACAAAGAAAAACATTCTAAAATTTTCAATTTTCAGACTAAGGGAGCAAACTTTCGCCCTCGTTTGAAGGTGCCCTCTTCCCATCATACCTCTGTAAATAACAACAGAGAACAATAAGAAACGGATTAGTTTACCATTTTTGCAAATAATCTTCAACTGTAAAAACAAAATTTCAGATTTACCTGCTTTCCGAAGGAGAAAGGAACATATTTATACTTGATCATGTGTTCTATCTGACGCCTTAGAGTCATCATACACAACATAATCCAGTAGAAGAGGAGAATTGGCCAGAAGACGGGAACATCAAACATGCTGAAGAACGTCAAGACAAAAGCGATGCAGAAGGCTTTGGTGATTGAGTACCTTCATAGGCGACAAGAATCAATTTTTACCGAAAATAATGTAACCAAATGATACTTACATATGCAACAACATATGAGAAAATCTAATATGCAATGCTTGGTTTGGTTTTGATGGTGATCATTTCATATACCGATATATGGAACACGTGAAAGAATCTAATAGGGAATATGCTTGGTATGGTTTTGATGAAGATCGTTGTATGCTAATCAAGAATCTGAAATTATGCTTCTTGTGTCCATTACCAATGCACCTGGGGAAACTCCAAAGAAAATATTCAATGAAAATGAAAATCAAACATTAAAGATCAAGCACGTATCCTCAATTAACAAAATCATTGGATAATTCAAGCAACATAGTTCAGTCTCATAATTAGGGCACTATCAGAAAAGGTATATATGTTCCCAAAAGACCCAATTATCAATTGAATTGCAAATTAAACATCGAATTGTTTGTCAGAACTCAATCCGCAGCAGATTTTGATAATGGATGATTCCTAAATGGGACAGATTTCAGATCATCATGCCCTTTTTCCCGTAACATTTGGTAACTACAAAGCGCACCAGAATTTGAACTCGGGGAGGCGGCGGACGAAGGGGCGGAACTCGTCGGAGCCCCTGGTAGGCAGGGTGGGGCCACCGGCAAACTCCGGGTCCACCTGCGGCGACAGAAATCCGATCAGGAGGTTGAGGATGTAGATTCCAAGGGCGTAGGACACCACGTAGAACCCCTCCAGCAGGTACACCCGCACCGCGTACACCAACGCCACGCAGGCGAACGCGATCCAACGGTGGGAAACGTGCGGCGTCGATTTGTCCAGGAGGTGCTGGTAACGTTGCGAGATCGCGAAGGTCCAGCGCGATACGGCGGTCGACGAAGAATCTCCGGCGGCGGTTACGGTGGCCGGGACATCGGCGGCGGCACTCGAACCGCCTGCGCTGGGGTCCATTGAAGGGTGATGTTAATGGCGTAATTTGGATTACCTCTCGGCCTTTTGATTGCCGATGCCGATGTTTGGAGCATTAGCAGCAATCAGCGGCGCAAGCAAAAGAGAGGCGGAAGTTAATTTCATTCGGGTCCTTCGTATTCTTTAAAATCAAACATGAGTCCCAAGCCGTTTTGTATCGTCTAGGGCTATATCTCCGTCGAAAGGTCGCCAAACTAATTCGTGAAACACACGTCCAACTCTTGAAATCGATAATCAATCTGTTGAAACCGATCGTTGAATCGATCGGTAATCAATCTGTTGAAATCGATCGTTGAATCGTACTGACTACTGATACCAACTGATGTGTTTAAACTTAACAAATCTTATTTCATTCAAAATCAACCATTTTATAACAAAGCAGAAAACCCTAACTCAACAATATCTTATTTCATCCAAAATCAACTATTTCATAACAAAGCAGAAGAGCCTTTAAATAAGTCTCCTAACCCTAGACCTTAACTTGTCCAACAAGACAAGATCACTTATTAAACAATATTAAATCCTAACTTATTCTATAAGGCACCTATTAAATAATAATAATAATAATAATAATAATAATAATAATAATAATAATAATAATAATAATAATAATAATAATAGATACTAATCTACACCATTATATGTCTACTAGTACAACGTCCGTGTATTACACTAGTGCTTGTTAACTTTTTTTCTTAAAATTTAAAATTAATGAGAAAAAGTTGTTGAACATTTAAATACTTTATATATATATATATATATATATATATATATATATATTATATTTTAGTATGACACTTGTTACTTGTGCGACTCACATGTATTATATTATAATAATTTTTCTAACTTATAACATATAACTACATTAAACATGAATATATTAATTGAGAAATAATTTTATTTTCTAATTAATTTAAATAAATATTTTCTTATTATTGTATAGATAAATATAATTTATTTATTTTATATGTACAGTATGGATGTCAAATCGAAGTTCATCAAAAGATGATTAATTTGATACATTATATATGTAAAACTGATAAGAAATACAAAAGTTATCAACTTTTAAAATACATTTACAATTCAATAGTTATGACATGAATTGATATTAAAATAAAATTAATACATCTACAATGATCATTATAAATCAATATTTTTATGGTAATCCGAACCTAATTAATTTTAGATTGGAATTAAATTAAAATCTATCCATGTCAAATAACAAATCATGGAATTTTGACACCTAGGATTTCGAAGCATGCGAGCCTGCCACTTAGGCTCGGCATATTCGGGAATTATATATAAGGGGAATTTAAATGAATTATTTAAGGCCTATCACACGAGAGAGAGATTTTAAATAAGTACTTTAGATAGGGTCTGTCGTTTAGACCTAAAAAATTAGAGTTAAAATATCAATTTCTCACCTCTTTTAATAAGTGTTGTTATTTCAGACCTCTTTCAATCAGTGTTTTATAGCCAGAACATTAAATATGAGGCTGTTAGGGCTAGCGTGTAAATTAGTTAATATATTAATCTGTAAATATGCAGACGTGGGATGACTTTACGCGAATATGGTGTACTGGTTTTTTTTCCTAATCTTGATCATAATGAGGCATCCACGAACAGACTTGTTATGGACGAGTTGAATTACGATTGTCGTACACTCACTATTGAGGATCAGTAGTTGGTTGTCAATATGACTGATGAGTAGCACAATGTTTGTGACTCGATTATGGACTCGGTTTACCGTAACCACGTCCGCATGTTTTTTGTTAATGGTTACGACGACACCAGTAAAAATTATGTCTTGAGGGCGTTGTATTTTGCTTTGAAGTCCAAAGGCGAAATTGATTTGAACGTTTCATCAAGCAGTATCACGTAACTTTTGTTGCCCAGCAGACGCACTGTGCATTCACGATCAAAATCCCACTAAACCCAACGGAATGGTCACCATGTGACATTAGCCAGCAAAATCTTTTTGGTTAAACTCATTATACGATGTCGGTTGAGCATTTGGGATGAAGCCCCGATGATGAATAAGTATTGCTTCCAAACGGTTGACAACACCTTATGAGCTTTAATGTTATTAGTGTATCCATCAAGGAGAAATCTTTCATTTGGCGAGAATTTTGTTATATTTGGTGGCTATTTCAAATAGATACTTCTCATTGTCCCTAAAGGTAATCGAAGTGATATAGTGAATGCGACCATCAATTCATTCAAGTTGTGGCGTGATTGTATCATTTTGAGACTGACTCGGAATGTGAGGCTTCAAAGCCTTTGTGGGAATGATGAGTTCGATGAGTTGAGGAACTTCTCCATGTGGCTTGCAAGCGTTGACGATGGTACGGTGGATCAAGCGACGATTGTGCCGTTATCAACATTCTCGAAGATATTCTTCTGAAATTACAAGGATATCCTATTGCTACTACTGTTGAAAGTACCAACCCGATGTTCAGGAGTTCATGCGAAGATCTTAGGTTTCTCAAGAACAGAGCCATACTCACTCAACAGTTGGTGTTTTTTGAGTCTGTTAGCGAGTACATATGCTCATTGAACTCCTCCGAGGGAAGGTCTTATTTGACTTTGGACATGCTTGCAAGTCAGATGGTGGATATGACTCTCCTCACGATCTTTATCAATAGGATTAAGTGCACGGGACTTCTGAATCATAAATTACACATAAAGTTCGGCATTCCAGTGATGTTGCTGAAAAACATTGACCACTTCACGAGGTTGTGCAAAGATACACATTTGGTTATTACTAAACTCACCCACCATGTACTCGAATGCAGAATTTTAACTGGTGTCAGAGTTGGTGATAAATTTATTATTCCAAGGCTCTCAATCATACCATCCGATTTGATGGTACCGTTATAGTTTCAGCGCATATATTTTTCGCTCATGGTTTCCTATGCTGTGACAATCAATAAATGTCAAAGTCAGTCTCTGTCGCATGTGGGCTTACTATTAAAGAGTCATGTATTCAGTCATGGACAATTGCACGTAACTCTTTCTAGAGTCATGAGTCAGAATGATTTGTAGCGATGAGAATTCTGACGATATGACAATTACAAATGTTGTGTATAAAGAGAGATTAATAATATTTTGATTTACTTTACAAAATCATTTTCTTTCCATTCATTAAGTTATGATTTTAATTTTTGTTTTGTATTTTTTATTATTTTCTTTTCTATTATATCGATTTTCGGTGAAAATACACAAGTTGAAACAAGTTAAATAATAACAATCAAGCATTCTCACACATCACATCAACTTTTAGGCATTCTCGCATAATTTTAATATATTATCACTTCAAAATTACCCATTTTTTACTTTTATATCAATTCAATTTTATCATTTTATTTTAAATATTATTTTAATACAAACTCAAAATTAATTATGCTTAACCAAAAAATCAAATCCAAATTCAATCTAATGTAGTAATTTGTATCCAAGGAAGCCCCCATCCACAATTACCAAAATAGTTTTGTAGTCTTTATATAAGCAGTGAACCCGCCCACACTGAATCTCTTCTCATGAACAATTAAAACCTGTAAAATAAATTCAATCAGATCACAGTCTATACAGAATTATCTCCAGCCTCACTTCATACAAATTTTCGAAAGCCTCATACTATCGAAGACATTCTTGATTCCTCATTTCAGTTTGAAGATCACCGCTCTGCATAAATAGATTTCGAGCAGTTAATAAGAATCTGAGCAGAAGTATCCCAATCTTCAAGCGAGGTGATTCACGCATTTATTATTGAGACGATTCATGTATTCTATGCAATAGATCTGAGATTCTTTAGCCAATTGCAGACAATTTTGTTTTTTCATTTGATCTTCGTTTATGGGTTTGTTTGTTTGGTTGTGTGATTCTGTTCTCTTCATGGCTGTTCTTTAATAAGCATAGGTTTGGTTTAGGTGATGTATTCATTCATTGTAAAGCATGAATGTCCGAAAGGATTGGGTTTAGGGGTTCCCAGAATAACCTTTTTAAGCGAGACTGGTATGTCATTGCTGACACTGGTTTAGTGATTTGTGCATGTGTGTATTGATTTGTCATGTTCAATTTCTATGATACATTTCTGAAGATTAATGTAGCTTAAACAACCGAATTTTATTTGGGTTGTTAATGAACTTTTGTTTGGAATGTCAGAATGGACTCGGGAGCTGCTGAATCTATCCCACCACAGCCCGATGAACGATCTGAAGATAAATCTACACCTTCTGTTGTCTCGGATAAGAAAAATTCTGCCCAGAATTCATCTTCTGGTCTATCCACATCAGCAATATCTTCTTGGGCTAAAAGTTTAAATCTCCTTCAAAAGCAACAAGACTCGCAGACTACGAATTCCACAGGATCTACTTTTTCACGCCTCACTAGTGGACTTGGGCTGCAGATTTCATCAAAAGCATCCTCATCAAATGAGAGTGCTAGCAACAGCTCTACCTCGGCACAATCGGGTGTTATTGGGTCATTAACGAAAGGGATAGTTGACTCCTCTTTAAACGCCGTGAAAGCTGTGCAAGTAAAGGCTAGACACATTGTGTCTCAGAATAAGAGAAGATACCAGGTATTCTACGTCATACTTATATTAATATTCTTAATGATGTAAATACAAGTATATTTGAATTCTTTCTGAACCTGTTTCTCATGATTACTATATGTTTTCAAGTTTAAGATGTTCAGTAATCATTATTCCAAAACGAATTTGTTTGACCGTCATTAGGAGGGAGGATTTGACTTAGATATGACATATATAACTGAGAATATAATTGCAATGGGGTTCCCTGCCGGTGATTTAAGTTCTGGACTTTTTGGATATTTTGAGGTAATGCTCCTTTGATGTTCCCACATCCTGGTTTAAGTATTTTGCAGTAGATTGAGAATTACCTTCATATATGGTGCAGGGATTCTATCGTAATCATATGGAGGAAGTTATCAAGTTTTTTGAGACTCATCACAAGGTATATTAATGGAGGAATTCTTTTTTCTTTCTTTCTTTCTGCATTTTATCTTTAGAATTCATCATGTATAATATTGGTTCATTTATTCAGGGAAACTACAAGGTGTACAACCTCTGTTCAGAGAGGTTATATGATGCATCGCTGTTTGAAGGAAAGGTATTTTTAGTCTGCAATCAATCTCTTTGGACCTATGTTGGAAGTCTATCAAAACTTTCTAAATTCATTTTTTGTACAAGCGATTGAAATTTTGAAACTATGAGTACCAGCTATGTTTACTGTGTTTTAAATAAATAAATTATCTTGCCTGATGAAGGTTTTTTTTTTTTTTTTTTTTTTTTTAATCTTGCCTGATGAAGTTGAAAGTAATGATGTGTCAATTTGGCAAAAACAGTCAACACGATCAACGGTCAATAGTCCACTGCTTATCTTCTTTCCTGCATTGATCATCATCGTTCCTTGATTACGATTGTGATATTATTCTCACATTTAATGCTGGGAAAGGTTTTTGGGTGGAGATGGTGGCACAATTTTGAGGCTAGATATTCTGACTTGGGATGCGCATGCTGTTGAAAGGTTTAACTGTTGTGTTGTTCCCAGTAGCCAATTGAAGAAGTTTCAGTTTTATTTAGATCTAGTTTTCGTAATTGAAGATAACTAAAACGAAATAAGAAACTAGGTTGATATCCAGACACTACCAAATAGGGATTTCTTAATTGGATCTTGTAGTGGAAGAGCTTGTGGTGAGTTAACTAAACCTAACTGAATATGCAAATTGCTCATTTCGGATTTTATTTAACTGCTTTACCTTTATCCAGGTTGCATCTTTTCCGTTCGATGATCACAATTGCCCTCCAATTGAGCTTATAAAATTGTTTTGTCAAAGTGCTTACTCATGGCTGAAGGAGGATATAGTAAATGTTGTAGTTGTTCACTGTAAAGCTGGGAAGGCAAGGACAGGATTGATGATATGTAGCCTTCTGCTGTTTCTGAAGGTAAAACTTGGTCACTGAGTAATTCAAAAACTTGTTTCTGTTCTTTGAGCAAGAGTGACTGGTTCGATTGTTTTATTTATTTATATGTTTGTCCTTCCTGATTTCTACCTCTTATGTTAACTGCAGTTTTTCCCATCTGCTGAGGAGTGCATTAACTACTACAACCAGCAAAGATGCATTGATGGGAAGGGTCTCATTCTTCCAAGTCAGATTGTATGACAGATATTCTGTGTGTCCTGTGAAAATGCCTATAGCTCACAAAAAATAACTAAATCTATTTTTTTGTGTGTTTAATCAGAGGTACGTGAAATACTTTGAACAGATCTTGACACAATTCAATGGTGAAACTCCCCCTGGACGTAGGTACTTTTCTGATTATCATTTACTATGTTCATCAGGGTGTGGTTTTACCAATTAAGGCAATAATGATATGTTGCAGGTGCATGCTAAGAGGATTCCGGCTGCTCAACTGTCCTTATTGGGTTAGGCCGTCTATTACTATATCTGATCATAACGGTATGTGACTAGATTCATTTTTCGTTTCTTTCACGGACATTGCACCAGAATTAGGTTCACGTTCATTGCAAGCTTATGAGTAACTTTAAATGTTCGACAGGAGTGTTGTTTACAACGAAAAAGCACCCAAGAACCAAGGATCTCATGGTATTTCCTTTTCAAACCACTAATCATTGTATTCATAAGCTTGTCAGCTGATGAAGTAATTAAAGGGGCCCGACATCATTTCACGCCTGTTGACCTTATGCAGCCAGAAGATTTCTGGATACGTGCACGGAAAAAGGGGGTCGTGGTTTTCGCGCTACCTGGAGAACCTGGTCTAACCGAACTGGTGGGGGACTTCAAAATTCATTTTCACGATCGCCAAGGAGATTTCTATTTGTAAGCAGTTCATGTCCAAAAAATTGGTTGCTGACTAGATTTTATTCAATTATACAGCAGGCAAATTATGTCAGAATGGTTCCTCAATTTGGAATTTCACTTTGCTAACATTAATTTCACTACTAGTAACCACACTTTATTACCGTTAGGACTTCTATTATTTACGCGTGATGTATTATTCTTCATCCAGTCTCACATTTTTCCTCGGTTAATTGTTAACACATACTTTCGTACAACTTTTGCTTGCATGCACGCAGTTGGATGAACACCACAATGATGGAAAATAGAATGACTTTAGATGGTTCTGACCTCGATGGCTTTGATAGCGTAAGCTTCTCCCGTCAGATTATTAATCGTTAAAAATTAATTTTCATTTCCTCACGTTTCAAGTATATAAATCCCCCCACCTTGCAGAGGAAATTGCCTTCTCCAGGGTTTCAGGTGGAGATTGTGATGACGGATTACAACGGGACTGTCCCTACTGAGGCCAAAACCGAGCACAGCTCAACAACTTGTGACGGGAAACAGGCAGGCCCCGTCCCAACAAGCTCATCCTCGACAAAAGAACAAAATGACAAGGATGATGTTTTTACAGACAGCGAAGGGGAAGAGGAATCTTCTTCCCGAGGTGGTGGTGTGGGGCCCACCACCGCATCGTCTGGGGGACCCACCCAACGTGCCGAGTCCTCTGTCTCAGTTGTCGGGGATGCGACCACCGTGTCGCACGCAATGGGACGGCTTTCGTTGGGGCGCGAGACAATGCACGACGAGTCGAAGGCCGGTGGGCCCCACCGTGCGGGAGGCCCGAGAATCCCGAACATGGACTCGACCGATATCAAGGCCATCGCGGCGGATGCCTCGGTTTTCAGCTTTGGGGACGACGAGGATTACGAGAGCGATTGATTTTGAGATATTCCAACTGGGCTGTGGAACTCGTTTGTATCCTTGTTCCTTTTTTTTTTTCCAAAAGAAGAAAAAAAAATTAAAAAAAATCTTTTACGGTCGTACCCAAATTTGAACATTGTGAAACAATAAATTCAGCATATCTAAAGGATGATTACATTTTTATTATTCTGGATTGCTATTTACCGCCCCCCTATTACTAGTCACCGCCCCCCCCAATTACGAA